AGTTGAACTCATAAACTCATGAGTCCTCATCGGATAGAAGTGATTCCCCACACTGCAGGTGTCAGTATGCTTGTTTTAACTTTGATTAATATGTGATGAAGTTAAGAATATTCAGATTCCTACATCTCTATTCTGACCAGGGATAATCTCAGTTTAGAACTGAATGAACATTATGTAAGTAATAAAGGCTAAAAAAGCTAATCTATTGATAATGCATTTTTCACTAACAACCTTTCAATGAAAGCTAAATTTATAGAAAAACTTTGGCAAAAAATAAAAGGGATTAGGATTTCAAGAAGAAGTCTGGTTTAACTTTTTCACAGATTGCTTTGTAGTGTATTGTGACCTTTGTCTTATTATTTTTGAAAGAATACGGACAAGAAATAGGAATAGAGACACATGCACCAAAGATAAAAAGGCAAGGAGGGTTGTCCCTTTCCAAAAATTAGGAGTAACAACTGAGTCAAGACCTTATTTAAGCTGTTTGGTGTTTTTTCACTTTAGTCTGCAGTCAAACTCAAGATGAAGCAGCTATAATATCTCAATATTAATTGTTAGTTTATATCTGTTATTACATGCAGGTTGCGGAAAAAAGCTAACATCAGAAGTCATCTATGTGGTGTATTTCAATGGTATTTTATGAGGCTTGGTTGAATTGTCTGGCATTCACATTGCTCTCTAAGAGCTCTTAATTGAGAGTGGTGATACAAGTTGATCAGGTGTGGTAGCTTATGATTGTTTAGCTGTTTTTTTTATTATTTTCCCTCCTTATTGGTTGTAATACCAGGGCGTATGTCTCACTGTATGAAATTGGACATATTCCCATATTTCTCCAAGTGCTGAAGTGATGGTTATAGTGTGACATTTAATGAATGAGGGCATTTACAGCGAAGGACAAATCTGCTGCCACAATCAGTGTATATATACTACAAACAAGTCAACATGATGTAGTGGGTTAAAAAAAACAAAAAGCACAAAAACTCTAACTCTTAAAGTGATGCTGCAAACAATCATCCTGGAGTTAGTAATTCCAATAACCAGGAGATATTGTCTACTGTACATGCCAACCAATAGTTCAAAAATTAATGCCAGAAACACTGTTCCTCTCCTACCAACATAGACCTAAACACATGAAGCTTTTTTATATATGTAGTTATTATGCATGGACAAGGACATATGATTATGTGGGCCTGTTCTATCTTCCAAAGACCTGTAGTCTTTACTAAACTTTTTAAACAAATATTGTAGGTCATTTTAAAGGGGGGAAATTGTGGATTCTGAAAATAAACTGAAAGTTAGTTAAATTTTTTTGTTCATTTTTTTTTTTATTTAATTCTCTCAGTAATGAATATAATTAGTTTATGTACCAACCAAACTTAATGAATGAAAAGGAGCAGCAAGAAGTGCTGAAATTCAGATATCATAAGAAGAACTTATAATATCTGCCTTGTATTCACATAATAGGAATATTAACTATTTAGAAGAACATTACAGACCTATTTTAGGTTCTAAAGTAAACTTGTGAATTGAGTAAAAATACAGAAAAAAATACAGGATTTGGATTAGAAAGGTAAATAGTAGAATGGTCACACCTCATTTTCTCTATTTGCCTCACCTTGATGTCCTACTGGCCAAAGGAGGAGGCTGTTTAATGTATATCTTCATATCTCCAACCAAAAAGTCAAAGTCTTAGTCAAAGCATTTATTTCTTGCTAAACAATTTAACCAATAAATAGACCTAATCAAATTAAAGGAATTTAACCATTTTCAGTGTGAGATAATATTCTACTTATTTTTCTATTTTTTTTTTTTTAGCTCTTATAACTTTGGCAGCAGTTCTGCACTTTATATCATTGTGGGTTTTATAAATGTTTGAAAAGCTTCATACCAAATATATAAAGTGGTGTGTTTTAAACATGATCACACCTGATAGGAACAATTTTAAAATTTTGATGACTTGGATTTAGGTAAGCATCTGATGTTTTATTAATAACTGCATAATAACCAAAGCAGTATTATGTTTTGACTTGAGTAAAAGATGGTTTTGACAATGTTGCTGGTGAATCCTCTCAACCTGTTGAAAAACAATGAGAGCTTAGAGATACATTGTCATAACTTTGTGGGCTGCTGCTAACAATAATTTTGATAATCAATTTTTTTTATTAATCAGCTGGGTAAAATATTGACACATGCTGCTGACTTTTCAATAAAAAGGTAAGTTTATTTTATGAGTGATGCAATACATGAAGAAAATATGGAAAGACATGAAAGAATTGTGACACTATTTTAAAGGAGGGTCATAATGGAGGGTGTTGTGGGTTAGGAGAATGCCTTTGAGGTTTAACACTGTGTTAATAGCATTTTTATTTAGCATGATGACTAATATCACAATGTGGAAATAAGAGGGAACTTAGATTTCATATTTTGCTCATTTAAAACTAGGTTATTTGTTGTAGAAATTACTTATGCTATTCAAGAAAGCACAATTTCTTTGACTGTCAGCCTTGTCTTTGAGGGGAAATAAAAAAAAGAGCATCCAGTATCTTTGGGTTCCTCAGTTAAGCTCCTCGATGTACGGTTTCCTGCACCTTTTATGTGTGTCCCAGCTTCCACACACCTAAATCAAATTGCTGAATTATTTCCTCAGCATGCAGTCAAGTTCTCCAAAATCCTGTAAAATCACCTGATTATTTGGCTATGTTGAAAAAACAAAGACACATCAAAAAGTGCAATAGAGCAGACCTCAAGGACCAGAATCGAGAATTTCTGCTATATAGTTTATGCTTGCAAAAAAATTGTAGGAAAAAACCTTTCAACCAAATTAAACAAATTTGTTTTGTTTTGTTTTGTTTTTAAATCAAAGCATTGCAGATTATTAAGTTACTTGTGTTTCTTTGGCTGTCTTCCAAGTAGAACAAGCAGTTCTGAATAGGGAATGAGGGGTTCATTACAGGAACAAACACGAAAACTAATTTAATCAAGCCTGTTAGTTACCTTATGGATCTTTAAGTTGTTTTTTTGTTTTTTTATTCTGAGTACTACTTTATTTTCTTTGCCAAACACACTGTGCTCTCCTGTTTTCCGGGACAATCTATGCTCTGAACTTGCTCCACATTGGGCTTATTCCTCCTAGATTCCACTTCTGATAGCAGAGCTGAGGTAACAACAAGCCCTCGCACTGTTTAGCCATTTCCACAATCAAATGAAAGAGTCTTGGGGGCAAAGTCTACAAGCAGTGCTGTAATATAAATTGACCATGTTAAAGGAATGGTGACAACACACACTCCCCCTTGAGTGTTTAGTTTTCTAGAGAGAAAATGGAATAAATGCAGAGACTGCATTTTTTTGTTTTCTCCACCCAGAGCCTCTACACTACATTTTAACAGCTGCTGCTCTCTGCTTGCAAAAACACATCAAGTTTGTTTTTGCACATAATGTAAGGCTAATAAATCCACTCCTTCTGATTTTTTTCTTTACCCATGAATTCTATTATCTGCTTGACAATCCAAGATAATTGATATATCTTTCTCTCATTTTCACTCTCCTCCTCAGAGCAAAAGCACTTCAATTATTCATTGTCCTCACTTTACACAGAGACAGAGAGAGATCTACTATATGCCACAAAGGCTTAACGCACGTTGTCACAGTTAATGGAAGGAGCAATCAAATATTTTAGGGAAAACCAAATATGCGAATGTGTCGGCTGCAATTTAGCGAAACATATTTTAACAGTGCAGATCTGAAGAACGGAGAGAGCCAAAATGATTCGGGGAGAAATCGAATGAGACGTTTGATGAATTTTTCTCTTCTTGTTGTAGGGAATATAAGTCGGCCACCTACGTCTGAGGACCAGAGGAGAGAGGGGAAAAAAAGTTGAGCTACTCAGAGTCTTGGGTGTGGCGTGGCGGCATTAAGTGGCGTAATTAATAGCATTCTCACAAATCAGGGGAAGTTATTAGGGGTGCATAGGAGAGAAAGTCGCGCCTTAAGAGGCTCTCAAATTGCACTCCAAGGTTTGTCACTTCCAGTAGTCATTTAAAAGCTCATTTGAAACTGTTGACCCCAGTTAACAGAACAAGCCTATTTAAGCTTTCAGTGAATCAGCTCATATTTAAAGGAAGTAAATGGAGACAAAGATATTAAAACAAGCACCAATTTATAACCTATAGAGATAGCAGAGCTTCATTATCACACACTCTACCCCTATCTGCAAACTGGTTTAATGTAAAGATGAAAATAAAAGATTATGTCTAAAAAACATCCATCACAGGAAAATATCAGAATATTCCACATGTGATGGGAAAGAAAAAAAGAAACACACTATAATATACTTGAGGAAATATTTGCCAATCTAAAAATTTCACACGGTAAATGTTAGCAGAAAAACATTGAAGCTGCCAGTGGAATCCAATTAAAGCAATCCACACAATGTTTTTTTTTAGGATTTTCACAGGAATGCCGGCAACTGGAGATATCGGTGCATAAATTAACCAGAGCAGTCTTAATTACACACAAGCAAAGCAAGAGGTAGATTGAAGAAAAGAAGGGAATATAGAAAGGTAAACAGAGAGGAATGAAAGTGCAGAGATTTGTTTGTTATTTGCTTTTTTTTTTACTCCAATAGGAAAGTCTGAGATGCTCACCGTGCTGCAGACTCCTCCATCTGTTTGTGACACACACACAGACACACCCACACACACTGAGCCGAAGAAAAACTCCTCAGTTCTCTGCAGTCCAGCAGGAGTAGGTCAAGGGTGCCGTCTCCCCTTGCTCTGCTTTTGAAATACAGACATCAACTTTTTGTCACCTGAGTGAACAACAAGTTTTGCATTTGAAAAAACAAAACATAAAAACCTCCATTATTTCCCCCAAAATTAATTTCTTCCTTTACTTTGCTTCTGTTTTTGGAGAACTGTGTATTTTATGCTTTGCACATAAATATGATGCATAGACTCGGCTTGCTCATATCTGCCTGCAAAGCACGTGGGTGGGTGTAAATCCTCATCCTGCTGTATATCCATTAGTAATGCAACACTCTAAAAATAAAGTGCGCCCCGGCGTATCAGTGCCTATGAACATGTTGCCTGTGTAATCACATTTTATATACTTCTTTTTTATCTGTTGTTAGGAGAGAGGAATGGTGGGGATTTTTTTTCCTCCATCTTCGCTGTTGCAACAGCCATAGATGCAGCGGATAGGCCAGTTGTTAGAACCGGCAGTTGGGTTTGCTTGGTGAAAGGTGAGATAAGTCCTGATTCTTTAACCCTGTTCTTCCTCCTACTCTTTGCTGCACCGACACAAATCAGCATGCTTAGAATACACTGCATAAGTTATCAGCTCCTTGGATAGCGATGCGTGAGGGGGAGAGCTGCGGCAGAGAAAGAAGAGGAGACTTCTATCACTTAATGAAAAATAGCTTGTCTTTTGGACAGAACTTCACAGGGCTGCAATCAAGCCCAGGCCCCCAGTTCTTGACGTGCAATCGAGGCAAATCAAGTCAGCATCTATTAATAATATTTCCCTGGCTCCTTTCATTCCAGGGTTAGTCCTACCACTGTCAACGCTGTGATGGAGCACTGCCTTTATCTCCACCCTGGCCTGCTCTGTCACAGTGATAAACAATTCTAACAAGAATCAGAATAAAGATCTCCCCAGTAGACTTTCAGAGATAGAGGGGGCCTTTTTTTTCTCATTTTCTAGACGGCAAAATTTAATCTAGTCCCCTCCCCGACAACCCCGACACCCCCTATCCTCCTTCTGCCTGCTTCCTCTTCTGCTTTCCTACTCATCTTCTTTTTTTCCCCTTCTGCTTCCTTTCTCCCTGCTACTTTTTTCAAACCGTCACATTCAAAGAGATGCAAATTTCCTTAGAGCTGGGACCTGATGGAGTTGGAGTGACTGCGAAAGGGTTTGGAGAAAGTCTGTGCATGGAGGCTGGGTGGAGCCATTTCTCCTCTCTTCAGTCAGTATCCTCACATCACTGGATGATCTGTGAGTGGGGTAAGGTGAGGCTTAAGAATAAGAATACTGTGTCTGCTAGAGGAGAATTGTCATTGGCAGTCACACATTTTCCATGCCCTAAGTTTTGATTTAGTTCTAAATTTTGGGTTTTTGCTTCTTAAAGTTTTAGGTCAGTAGCAGTGGATGTTTTTTTTTTTTTTTTATCTATTCATTGTAAAGATTAAAGATGATTCATTGCTTCCTAGAAGGCTTTTTAGAAGGTAATAGACCACCAAAGGAACGTCCTAAAACCAATTGGTATGTTGGAACGACAGTATGTTCTGTAGTCCCTCAGAGGCTGAGATGTATAAACCAAAAGTACACAAAGCAGTAATTTATCTAAATTTTCTATAGCAAGTACTTGGGTTTTGAGAATCAGCATGAACTGTTAACTCTCCTTGTCTGTCTTCAAAGGTGAGGGTGGGTGAGGACGGTTAACAATTGAATGCATTTATGTTATTTAATATTTAATACGATGATCTCCGGACTGTCTTTTGATATTCTCTGAACCTCGCCCAAATGGTTCTTTGTCAGGATAACATGAAAGTGTGATTTAAGCTCAAATCATAGTGAAGCAGTAAACTTTCCACACATACATAATAAATTAATAAAAATAATTCTGTATGATCTGGATAAATTGGCTCTGTAAAGTGCCTTTAGATGACATGTGTTGTTAAATTTGTGTTATATAATTAAACTGAATTGAATATGAATATGACTAAATGTAATTCCTTAAAGGTATAGTGGAGGATTTTTGCAAATTTTTGAAAAGACCCGCCCTCTTCCTTTAAAAAAAAAAAAAAAAGGAAGGTGCAAAACCCTGTACTCGCTCCCAAGAGGGAATGCCTATTAAACGTGTGCGAGAGCATGCAGGAGCCCATTTCTCCTTGTGCAGGCTCTGTTTAAAAGTTGCTGTTTGCTTCACTCATGCAAGCTTACTTTCAAAAAGAAGATTTGCAAATTTTCCACTATCAGACTCACCACCGGAAGGTAACTATGGGGACGGAAGAGCATGTGGAACAGCCTTACGTCAACATATCACCAGAATGTTTGACAATTAGAAGGACCACTTATTTTGATGATCCACCCGGAAAAAGAACATCCTTCACTATACTTTTAAATACACAGAGATTACAGTTGTATTTGTGCCACTAAAACTACTTTCAAAGGGAAATACAAATCTCTGATGTGAAAGCGTGGCCTACAAAATGTTGTTTCCAGGTGTGTACATATATGACTTTCCATTCTTCCTCTACATTGTGGAGAAAAATCCCCTTATTAAATGAAGTGTAAAATAAGGAGCAAGATTCATCCAAAACAGACCAATTAGTCAGTTAAATATTTTTCTATGTATTTTTCGGCCTTTGCCTGTAGGATTCTTTCAAACAATCTAGACAAAAAATTTTTATAATAGAAGCAGACATGGTGATTTTTTAAGGATGCCCCTACTCTTTCCGCAATCTTAGGACTGTTCTTTAAACAGCATGGTTAATTCTGTGCTGTTAACCACAGCAGTTGGCTGCAAGTGACAGTCAAAAGACATTTGAGTAATCTCCAGTCATTTCTGCTGATTTATATATGAATAGTTTTAATGTGTACCAGAATGTATCAGGATATGCACTGGTGGTGTTTTATCCTGCCCAACAACTCAGCATGAGGCAAGATAGGACTAGTAAAGATGGATTATCCGTGAACAGATCTTTGACAAGCCAAGCGACAGCCATGCAGGCAGCAGCAGACAGTAGGAGACAAAGAAGTGAGGTGCCCAGTGGGACATCCACAGAAGAGGAAAAAGGAGACAGGAGCTGGCACACAGGTGAGGGAGGAGCAATTTTGTGTGCTCTGGGTTTGGGGAGGGGACTGTGGTGACAGAGAGAAGAATTTGTGAAGAGGTATACAAAACTGTGTATTCTTCCACCCTGCATTCCAGTCTGGTTTTCCACCCAGACACACACTGCTCAAAGTGACAGCTTCAGATTCCGGATCAATAGAGCTGGGAATCTTGCATCTAATCCTCTCCCTGATGCATTTTTAATTGTGTGAGAAAGCAGAGGAGGATGAGATGGGTGGTTGGTATCACAGTGGGGAGAGTGGGCGCACCTCCTAAGTGTCATCTGTGTCACTGAAGTTAGACGAGTGACAAATCAGCTCACACAGATGAGAAGCTTAGAGGGGAAGTGATGAATTACAGAGGACTACCTGCACTTCATGCTACAGAGGAGAATTAAGATCTAAGGTATGAGTTGTGATGTTCCAGCAAAGGTCTCTGGGAGCAGTTTTATCACACCTTTTGCTGCACCTTGATTATTGTTTGATTAATAAGTTGTACATTTTCTGTTGCGTTTTGGACCTTTGTCCTCCCAATGTCCCAGATTTCAGTCAGGCATCAGCTCTTAAAAAAGATGGCCTGACATGTTACTCTAGAACGTTAATAAGTATAGTTAGTATCAGACTAGCACTGGATATACAGGGAACATGACAGACTTACAATTTTGGACTGTTTATTATAAAATCAAAAAAGTTTTTACCATTACCAGTGGTGTCTAAAGTACACACATTTGTTACTTAAGTAGAAGTATAGATACTGAGGTTTAAAAACACTCTGGTAAAAGTTGAAGTAATTTGACCTCATTGCTCAAGCAAAAGTGAAAAAGCATGTGCTCCAAAAACCACTTAAAGTATAAAAGTATGAAGTAACATTTAAAAAAGAAACTACCAAATGCCACTTTATGAACTGAAAGCTCAATATTTCGACTATTTCGAAAAATTCTTTGAGATAGGGCCATAAAGAATAAAGAAAATCAACAACCAATAAAGGTCCAAAGATATTTTTAATTATAATCTGTTACTTTAAACAGAATTTAACACTGAAATAAAATGAGGTGTTTATGCATCCATGTTATACACTGAATTTTTAAATAAATAAAAAAAATTAAAAATAACATTTTCCATTTTAAAATCTAAAGTGTTTTTTGAAGTAGAGAACAACAATCTTTCAGTTTGGTATATAGATTATTTCCTGATTCACATGTTTTATAAAACCCTTGAACTGACTGTTTATTTATTTATTATTTTTTTATAGGTTAATGAGAGCAGTGGGCTTTAGGCTGCCCTGCAAGACTTTAAACCTGGGTTTGATTGTACACAAAGCCATTCTCAAGCATATATCAAGGTACTCATTTTGAGCCTGGAGACTTGGACACTAAAGATCTGGAAAATCTAGAGAAAAGGATTTGATTGCAAAGATGCTCATCTGAGGGAAAAGTAACATTGCAGCATCTCATACTTGACCACAAAAAACAACAATCATTCTCTTTGCTCTACAAGAGCAACTCAGAAGTACTTGGATCCAGAAGAGGAACAGAGGACACTTATTGTTCAGGCTAGGCCATCAACCACTAAACTTTCTCATACTGTATTCCTTTAATATGCTAAGTGTCTCTCCATTAAAGATGACTAATCATGATGGGCTGCTAGCTATATATATATATATATGTATATATATATATATATATATATATATATATATATATACAGAGAGAGAACGACAGAGAGACAAGAGACATGTGGGGGGAGTGGCCAACAAAAAAAAAAAACGTGCTTCAAAGATAAATAATTCATATTTAATAAACATAACTCTGCATCATACATGGTTAGATTTTTTTATTTTCGTTTATCACACCTTAATGTAGGCTAGGAGGTGCACTATAAGTATTCTTTTGTATTATCATATTTTCTTTTTTTTTTTACAAATAAATCCAGCGAAAATTCTATCCAAAAGACTCTCACCTGAAGCACCTGCTGATGTCCCATGTCAAGCTTTAGCCAATCAATGTCAGCACAACGACTCCTCCGAAGATAATCATCTTCCAAGATCCCCTTCATTTAGCTCCTGGCCCAGCTTCCATCCTACTTTCCCCCACTTCCACCCCATCTTCTGTCTCACTCTCAGGTCATTGTAAGTCCCATTCACCCTACTCTAAACCATTTCCAGACTACTCTTATCCTTTTCCTGTTCTTTTAATGGGACCAATAGAACCAATTTGAATTGCTTGTCCTAACATTTGCGGAGCAGCCTATGTAGACACCCACAACACACCTACTTATTGCACATACTGAAAGAAAATGCATATGCAATTTAGGATATCCTCTTAGGAATCTGTGAAGATCAGGCCCTTCATTTTTAAAAGAGCTTTACAAAGGTCGCAAACATTAAGAGAAGCTTAGCAGCAAGAATAAAGCATACCTGTAGTGTACAAACAGCAGCATTATAGTTTTCTGCCAAAAAAAGAGCAATGAAGAGAACTAGTGCCAGAAAACAGCAAAAGTTTTTATTTATTTTTCACAGAAAAAGTGGGAGAAATTGAAAGACGAGTAACCTGGTTTTTTGGGCCTATGATGGGCTACAGTCATGCATGTACAAGCCATAAACACAGGGAGATTTAGCTGACTAAGCAGCCAATGCTTAGCCAATTCAGGCTGATCTGTTGTCTTATGCAGTTCTTTTGTTTTTTTAATGTGAAATGTGAGAGGAGTGTTCTGCAATAGCAGTATATCACTGCTTTTTATTAACGATGCTGCTGAATGTATCTCAGCCTTTCCATCCATGCTTACTGAATTTACTGTCTTTTGGTCCTAAAAAGTAATTTCTTTGTATGCTTATGAGAAATAGTCCAACCCTTCATACATCTCACTTTACTAGCAAAGTAGAATTGGCTCTTTTACCAGGTTTTCATATTTGGTAAGGATTAAACCTTTCATCAACCAGCTTCAAATGTGCTTGATGTCCATACTCATCACAATTTTACATTTGTGTTCATTATAGTTTATTCATGTTTATTACTATTTGTGTTATAGAGAAAAATAGATTAGATTGGAGAAAATCAATCAGCCATATTGCCATATTGGACTATAAAACATTTCTAAGTAACCATGTTATTTTATTGTTTCAAAACAAAACTATGAAAAATAATCTGGTAGCAGGAATTGAACAAAAGTGATTGGAATAAAAAATGCACTGGCAGTCTATACCTATCACTGTAGATTTAGCTAGACTGGCATTCTATACTTACAGTATTTTGTCAGCAATAAAGATATATACCAAAGCAAATACTAAATCCAATTATTTTTCAACTTTGAAGAGAAGCTCATTGAATATGACGTCATTTAAATATATCAGCTCCGACTCGCATAAGAAAAGTAGTAAAGGATACTGACTCAGACTTAGACAGACTTTATTGTCATTTTGTACACAAAGAGTGTATACAAAAAGAAATTTTGTTCATTACAGCTCTCAAGACATTTCCATTTCTAAAGTGCAGCAGTGATAAAATGTAAACATGGAAATCAAATGTACAGTAAACATAAGACTGCTATATGATTTACAGTTTCCAACATCCATCTTCTGACACGCTTAATCCCAAGTGGGGTCACGAGGGATGCTGGTGCCTATCTCCAGTTGTCTACGGGCAAGAGGCTGGGTACACCCTATACAGGTCACCAGGCCATCGCAGGGAAACACAGAGACAAGCAGGACAAACCACCATTCACTCACACACTCACACCTAGGTTGAATTTAGAGAAGCCAATTAACCTAACAGTCATGCTTTTGGACTGTGGGAGGGAGACAGAGTACCCAGGGGAAACCCACGCATACTCAGGGAGAACATGCAAACTCTGTGCCCATTCAGTGATTTTTTAAAATTTTTTATCCCCATTTTTATTCAACATTCAGCCATCTAATGGCATTTGGGAAGAAGCTGTTCTGGAATCTACTGGACATTCCGATGCTTCAAAGCCCCTTCCCAGAGGACAGTAGGGAGAACAGCCCATGGTGGGGGTGTGAGGAGTCGTTAATGATGTTATGGGCTCGGGACACGCGGCGCAACAATGTCTTTTATGGAGGGAAGCCCCAATGATCTTTGCAGTTCTCACTACTCTCCTCACCACCTTCCAGTCTGTGGCATTGCAGCCTTCACATCATACAGTGAGAAAGCTGGTCAGCACGCTCTCCATGGTGCTTCTGTAGAAGGTCATGAGGATGGGTGGGGGCAGGTGGGCTCTCCTCATCCTCTGCAGGAAGTAGAAGCGGTTTGGGCCCTTTTGACCAGTGAGGTTAGCTGTGATGTATGTGCACCCCCAGGAATTTGGTGCTGCTGACCACCAGGGTGAACAGCAGGGGGCTTAGGAAGCAGCCTTGAGGGGAGCCTTTACTTAGGGTGATTACATCAGAGGTGTTCTGTCCAACCTGGACTGACTCAGGTCTGTTCGTGAAGAGTCTACCAGCCAATTGCAGAGGGGTGTATTAAAGCCCAGCTGCTCCAGTTTGTGCATCAGATGCGGTGGGATGATGGTGTTGAAAACTCAACTGAAGTCCAGGAACAGCATCCGCATGTGGATGTTCTTCTCCTCCAGGTGTGCCAGGCTCAAGTGAAGAGCAGAGGAGATGGCGTTATCAGTGGAGCAGTTCCGTCGGTACACAAACCGGAAAGGGTTGAAAGTTGGGGGGAGACCGGAGACGATGTGTTCTTTAACCAGCCTTTCGAAGCACTTCATCATGATGGGAGTCAGTGCGACAGGCCGGTAGTCTTTTAGTGAGGTCATCTGAGGCTTTTTTGGAACCAGAATGATGGTGACAGACTTAAAGCATGGTGGCACTATGGATTGGTCCAGCGGGGTGTTGAAAATGTCTGTGAGGACACCATCCAGCTGATCTGCACTCTCCCTGAACAGCCACCCAGGTATGTTATAATGACCTGGGGCCTTTCTTGGGTTGACTCTCCTCAGAGTTTTCTTCACTTCAGCTATGTCCAGGTTGAGTGCCTGCTCCCCCGGTGTGAAACAGCTTTCTCTGCTGGACTGCTGTTTAGTGCTTCAAACCTTCAAAAGGAGTTGTTCAGTTCACTTAGGAAGTCGGCGTTTGCTGCATCTACTGGGAGGGAAGGGTGTGTTGTAGTCTATGACATACTGACATAGCGACAAAGGTGGTAAGTTTGTTAAGTTTACTTTAACAAAGAAATGAGAATATAAACTGAAGGTTTGAAAGCACGAAAATAGTAAAATGGACAATGCTGAGATTACCATTAAAACATTAGGGCAGGGGTCACCAATTAAAAATCAGTAGGGTCTGAATAAAGGAAATCAAAAACCAGTAAAGGTCCAGTGACATTTTTAATTATAATCTGTTACTTTAAACAGAATTTAACACTGAAATAAAATGAGGTTTTATGCACTCATGTTATATACTGACTTTTTAAATACATATACATATATATATATATATATATTAAATATATATATAAATAAAAGACATTTTTTCCATTTTTAAATCTAAAGTGTTTGTTTAAGTAGAGAACAATCTTTCAGTTTGGTATATAGACAAGTTCCTGATTCACTTATTTTATAAAACACCTGAACTGACCATTTATGTTATTTCTTTCTTTTTTATGGCTTAATGGGAGAAGTGGGCTTTACTCTGCCCTGCAAGGCTTTAAACCTGGCTTTGAATAGTGACAAAGCCATTCTCCAGCACATATCAAGGAGCTCATTTTGAGCCTGGATCGATATTTATTTTTGATTCTCTTCATGGTGGAGAATCCTGCTTCACAGCAGGTTGAGCAAAAAACATCCATCCAT